ACTTTACTGGTCAGGGCTCACCACCTGCTTCTCTCCATTAACATTTGTGTGTAATGTTCCACTGTATGACATTAAACTTATGTAGCTTCTATTTATTGAATACAAGAATTTTTATTACTCAAAAATACCTTGAAAAACAATGACTAATTACTATAATTGACAGAACTGACCTTTAACTCAATCTGATGCTGTCATCTGCTTGTCTCCGTGGTGATAAATAAGTTTAATGCCATACTATAAAACATCCCTTGCAAAGTAATAACACTTTTATGGAGACAAAAAGGTGCAGACTCTCCACCAGTAAAGTTACATAGCACATTTTATATTTAGTTTTATTTGTTTTGCCTGGCTACAGTTTTGGAGAATCAGAAAGTTTTCTTGTGAGCAACATTCACAAACTAGGAATTTATTTTGGTGTTATGGTGCAACTTCAAACAAAGAATAATAATAATTAGGGATATAACAATAACCTAAATATTGTGATATTGTATCGTCAAAGTTCTCACAATAATATCGTGGATCATCACAATATATCGAATTACAAGTCCCTTTCTTAAATTAAGAGTTATGATGCAGCAATAGCTAAAAAAAGACAGAGGGAACTACATAGACCATGGTCCTTTGCTCCATTTCAATGTACAGTGTAGACTACAAGAAGAAATAACAGTTCTAAGCACTTTGATGTCTTAGTTTTTTAGATTAAGTCTTGTCAAGGCATTTTAAGAGGAAAAAATAGCATATTAACAGTTTTGTTAGCTTCCACAAAATATCGCAATAAATATCGTTTCGTGAGATATATATTGTGAAAATATCGTACCGAGAGATTTGGATATTATTACATTCATAATCGTTAGCCTCCCCACCTTATTGTGAGCTTTCCTATGATATCGCACTAAATATCATACTGCGAGGATCATACCATGATGATATCCTATTGTGAGACTTGGATGTTGTTACACCCCTAATAATAATATAATATGAATGATAAAATAAAAACAAGGGCACACATTAAAGGAAGGTAAATATAGACTTATACGATATAGATATATGATACAAAATGGGAAGAACAACATTGCAAAAGCTGTCAGTACAAGTAATCACAGTTGTTTATACTGAGAGTGACAGGTGGTATAGAGTGACAGGTGTTATACAGTGGCAGGTGGTAGGTAAGAGTGTTCATGAGGGGAAGAAACTGTAGCCTCAGAGCCTTTGAAATAACAGATTTAAATATCTTTGATCAATAAAATATAATAACATAAACATCTTTTTTTATTTAGAAACAAAAAACACACAATAATCAAATTATAGCATAAAATTATAAAATCACTTCTTTTTGCTGAGACAATGCCCGTTAACCGTTATTCAAAGTTGCATATAATTAATACTATTCTTAATAATATGCTCATGGCCTTTTATAATGACACTTGGTATGTTTCATATGTATCATTTACTTTCCAAAGTACAATTGTGTACTGAACAAAACCTTGTGACAATGAAAGTAAAATGAATGTAATATAATTGGATCCCTCAATCACATCACTTCAGAACTAGAATGAGTAATTTAAGACTCTTTATATTCACAAGGACAGCCATTGTTCTCCGTTTCTGTACAGATTCTCTCACTGCTACATATGAGTGCGTGTGTGAGATGCTGGGGGGAATCTGGAGTAGAAGCTGTGATAAAATATCTTACAATTAACTTAATAGTGCTTTTAGAAGCTAGTAAAAGATACCACAAATCAGTACCGCTTTATAATAACAGCACATTTAAATGGGCCTATATTACACTGTTTTCTGATCTATGTTATTATACATTTTAAGTTTTGTTTCATTCACACACGTTTAACACACAATTATGTATATTTAGGCCAGGGGTCTCCAACCTTTTTCCTCCGGTGAGCTACATTTACAAAACTAGAAAAGCACTCAGAGAGCGCAGACCTCCGCCAAGGACTACCCCCATGTTTTATATAAATTGCGATAAAATAAGTCTTCTGGATCAGATCCGGATCAGCCTTTGGAATATGAAAGAGGATCCCATTGTCCATCCCTGAGTCAAATTTCATGGGGTTTGGTCAATAATTAACCGAGATATTGAGAAACAAAATTTTTGGCCCCATTTACCACAATGTTAACTAAAATTTCAAAGTGATCCAGAATCCAGGATTTCTTCCGGATCACCCCCAAAATGAAATCAGTTCTTCCTTTTCCAACAAATCCTGAAAATTTCATCAAAATCGGTCCATAACTTTTTGAGTTATGTTGCTAACAGACAAACAAACAAACAAACAGACAAACAAACAGACAGACAAACAAACAGACAGACAAACGCCGGCAAAAACATAACCTCCTTGGCGGAGGTAATAAAATACCTTAGAGCTACTAGTTTTAGTGGTAGAGCAACCAGATTTTCAAAATTCAAAATTCGGACACACCCGGGTCTTGTGACTTCTGACACTGCATTTTTTGCTTTGTTGTCATTTCCAAACACTGTTTTCAGTATTTTGGAATAACAAATGACAATGTATGCTCCTCTTTACTGTTCGCAGGGATCAGATTAGCCAAAAATCATGATAGTCCTGTTTTAGTCCTTGTTTAATCCTAGTTTAGACTTGATGTAGTTCTGGTTTAGCCTTAGTTTAGTCCTGGTTTAGATCAAATTGGTCAAAAATAGGGACACTGGTCACACTATTTAGCGGTCACAAGAAATTGAGCATAGAAAGCCTTAGATGGGAAACAGTTAGATACTGATAAAACATTAACTTTTATCCATTCATTAGTGTACAAACTTAGTCACTGATTAGTTTATTTAGTTTAATTAGTTAATTCAGAAATCCCTTGGCAAGCTGCTTAGAAGGGGGTGGAGAGCTACTGGCAGCTCCTGAGCTACAGGTTGGAGACCCCTGATTTAGGTTGAGTTCTTCTCAACTTGAGCTGTGGAGATATAGACACACTAAATAAATGGTTACTCAAGCATGTGTGAATGAAACAAAACACAACTCCATGTGTGTTTTTGATGAGGTAACAACATTATAACATGACTAAAAGCTCACAAGAGTCAATTTTTCTAATGTAGGACCTTTATCTATCTATGTATCTATGTATGTGCTACTCAGTCTTTTTTTTGTTTACATTACTTTATTTTGTCTGCTCCATTGCGTCTGTTCATAATCAATTGTAACTCAACTGTCCATGACCATCTCCCAGGATTCAGCCTATTTCCTTTTAACCTCCCACTCTTTCCCCTCTCCTCCCACTCCAATTAGGCTTCAGTTTCAAACATGCCTTTGGTGCATCTACAGCCGAACCCCCAACCATATGCCTGCCACAAACGCGCTTTGTTCTGCCCAAATATTGTCTGTTTCCGATTGGAGCTTCATGTTAACACAGGGAGATGCTCTGAAACCCAAAACTCCTTTTATTTTCTTATTTATGGCCCTGGTTTGACTGGGCCGCCTGGAGGAATATGTGTGAGCTTGTGGCCGCTGGTTTGTTAAGTTGCAAAACAGTTTTCCCCGGAGAATCTCTTGCTAACATGTGTTCAGTGGCCAGAGCCAGATTTCTTTGGTGAATGGGAAAAACAGAGCCTCAGAACAGTAGGTCGGTAGTGATCACATAATGGTGCTCACGTGCGCTGCAGATGTGAGCGCAAACTTAAAAACATTGTGCTTGGGTTGAACTTTGCTGATTTAAATGGTAAAAGTGTTTATTCTTTTTTCTTATTTCGATATCTTTATATGGTTGGGTATTAAAAATAAAAGAAAAAAGTTATATCTGTATAGTATTGATGTAGAGATATCCAAATCTCTCGGTATGATATTATCACGATATGAATCTCACGGTACGATATTTATTGGGATATTTTGAAGAGGCTGATATAATTGTAGATGGGCCACTTTTTTGCTTTTAAAATACCTTAACAAGATGTTGGTGTTAATTATTTCCATATAATCTGAAGAATTCAAGTAAAAAACATATTTCTTCATGTTGTCTGCACTGAATTGAATCATGGGATATGTAGTTTCTTATGTTTATAAGCTGTTGCTACTATAAAACCGTGCATTTAAGCAAAGGAACTTGTGAGTCAATTTATTGTGACAGCTCACGATATTATTGTGAGACTTTTGACGATACGATATCACAATATTTTGGTTATTGTTACATCCCCTAGATAGTAATCAAAATACTAAACTATAATAATAAGCTTTTTTTTTTTTTTTGTATTAGTACAACATTATGAAATGATTTAAAGGTGCGCTGTTGAACTTTTCTGGTAGAGGGTCCAAACCCCTGCTGGAATTTTCTACATTATTGCATTTAATTTAATTATCTCCAGGGAGACAAACAGGCTATATCACCAATTTATCGGTCAGTTCTGTGGAGAAGTGGGACAGCTCACATTATTGTTTTGGACCATATGTTTTTGCAGTAGTTTAGCCATAATTGAATAAATACAATATATATATTTGTTTAAGCAAAAACATCACCATGGAGATGAGCAGATGGCGGACCTTCTATCAGAGAAGTTACACAATGTACCTTTAACAAAATGAGTAAAATGACTGAATAGTAGTAGAATAACACAATTCACACACACCTCACATTGTATAAAACAGGACTTCTGTGTGTGTAAATTGTGTTACTCTGTTTAATGCTAATCTCCTTTTACTTCACCAAAAAAAAAAAAAAGTCAATAAATCAAAATGTAAATATCTGTTTAAAATATCCCCTTAGAATCATAAGGTTTATTATTATGTCTTTATTGAAGATGAGTTATTCATATATTGCTGTTCCTGACCATTTAGGGTTTGGTCAGTTATTCAGGTTTATATGAGCAAAAACCCATTTCCTGACTCTTAACTTTCCTAACTGTGCTCTATGAAAATTTTACACCTCAATATCTCAGAGCCGCACATAGAACCTTACAATCCTAAATGGACAGAACGTAGTATTTTCAGTCTTGCGTTAAACCTGACTGAGTTGCCTCTTGTTTGCTGCAGGAGTCAGATGGCCAGGGCTGCCCTTTCTGCCGCTGCGAGATCAAAGGCACAGAGCCCATCATCGTGGACCCCTTTGACCCCCGCAACGAGGGCAGTAAGTGCTTCTTCCTGGAGCGCCACAGCTGCCCCCTCCTCGACCTGGACGAGGACGAAGATAGAGATGAGGGCCTGGTCATGAACGGGCTCGCTAACATTAGGAAGGTATGACCCCCATATACTGTGCTGTATAGATTCATTTAACAGCTGCAGAAATATGCAAATGCAGTTTTATTAGTGGTGCATGAAGGGAAAAAATATGTTATTACTAGCTACTAATTATTGTTACTGCTACTTAAAGGACCTATACTATGCTGTTTTCTGATCTATGTTATAATGTTGTTTCCTAATCATAAATGTACTTGGAGTTAGCGCTGCTCGATTATGGAAAAAAAATCATTATTACGATTATTCCAACTGTTATTTTTTAGTTACACAATGCATTTATTCAGCATTCCTCTCTCAAAAAAAAACACTTTGTTATTGATAATTTATGCAAAACTTTCAAATTGAAAATAAATATAGGATACAAATCTCTACCTTACAGCAGTTTTGCAACGTATAAAACATAAAATTAATAAAATATATTTTGAACATGAAATAAGGCTTAGAAAAACATAAATTCAAAATTCAAAATAGACTATATACCTAGATGTTCTATAATCTCTATATTTAAAAAAATAAGTATACTTATTTATACAAAAAATATGAGTTTGGAGTTTGTTTGACACACAAAATGAAATCGTGATCAAAATTCAATTAATTCCACAGCCTTACTTGTAGTTGTGTTTTATGTCATTCACACATGTTTGACACAAAAATCCTGCACGTTTAGGCTTTCTCTCAAGCCAAATACACCTTGTGATGTCATATGGTAATACAAGAAGTGCTCCATTGTGTTTTTAAATTCCATACACCTTCACGAGAATCATTTGGATAATTTCAGCTCTGGAATTGCCAATCTCTACTGAACAAAAGGTAAAAGGCAGCTGTTAACTTGAAAACGATCACTTCATGACATCACAAACTGAAACAGAACATTTTGAATTTTAGGGATGTAGACGAACATAAAGAGCTACTGAAACATGTGGATGAAACTAAACACATCTCCAGAAATGTTTTTTGAATAGGTAAAGGGTTCTAACATGGCTTAAAGCTTACAAGAGTCGATTATGCATAATATAGGTCCTTACATTTTTACATGTAAATTGTGGGGCTTAATTTAAATAAGACTAGAGATGGTTAGATATATTGTAGATATACATACTGGTATCTTAGTTTAGCTCCCCCCTCTTTACTGTTCATAGAAGACAAAAAGTGGCATGCAGTGGTATTACAGAAGAAAAGACATGTTTAAAACTGTAATACGTATATAATAGTATAGCATAGCTTAATGTAGTATTTAGTATGTATTATTATATAGCATTAATTATATCAAATATCTGTGTTCCTCCTTTGTTCACAGCACTGTCCCGAGCGTCAGAACTCCCCCATGGTGTCTCCCAACTCGTCCCCTGTGAGTCAGCACAGGAAACCCCATGTCACAGACTCCGCCCACTGCAGCACAGGCCCCGCCCACTGCATCCAACACCTGGGACTGCCCCCCGTCCCTCCACGGCTGGACCTGATCCAGAAGGGCATCCGCTCCCCCTCAGCCAGCCCCACCGCCTCCCCCAAGGTCAGACATACACATCTGCACTGTCTATAGTATACACAGACATGAGAGTCTATAGGCGAATAACATGAAAAAATTCATTTTGAGAAGTTTTTCACATTCAAAAGATATATTATTATTTTGTTTTAAATTGTAAAGCGCTATCCCATATGGAAAAGGTATAGACAAATCATACACCATTTTAACATGTTTCAAATGAATCCTAAAAGATTTCTATATGACAGTGAAAACACTTACAAGATCTTTGGTAAATATGTGCAGCATGAAACATATAAAACTTTGTACCCTGCAAGGCCTGTATATGACACTAATCCCACATACAATATTCTCACAAGTGTTGGACAAAGGTCATTTATTTCATAGAAAAACAAGTGAGATGATGATTGTTTCCTTAAACTTGATTGCTGTGTTGTGTGTGTATGAGAGTGAGAAAGAAAATGATCACAGTGTGTGTTTGTGTGTGTATGTGTGTGTGTGTGTGTGTGTGTGTGTGTGTGTGTGTGTGTGTGTGTGTGTGTGTGTGTGTGTGTGTGTCTGTGTGTGTGTGTTTGTGTGTGGGGGTGCAGGTGGGGGTGTGTGTGCGTGCGTGTGTGTGTTGGGCAGCATGGGGGTAAACACAGTAATGCAAATATTGCATTACAACCTTAAAAAACATATTCCACTGATCTCACAGTGAACATACATCAGGCTGTAAAAATATTTTTACTCTGCAAAATCCTAATTGTTACAAAGGTCTATATTGACTTGTAATATTCCAAAAAGCAGCTATACACTTATGTATAAGTGACAAGAGGTCATATCAGTTACAAATACCAAGGTACTTGTAATTGTCCTCAATATCTGCTATTGTTGCCTCTGGAATCAGCAGCTGGTTAGTTCAATTGGTAAGTCACTGGACTTCCACATGGTAGATCTGGGTTCAAATCCTCCTTCAGACTCTGATTGTTTTTTCTGCAACATATAATTAAAGAATACAAACATTACATGGAACATACAAAGAAAATGTAGTTTATCATGCACATTACCTGTAAATGTCAAGCAAAATGTTCACTTTGTCTTTACTAGTTTTTCATAATATAGTTGTATGAGAAAAATGCAAAAGGGGTTCACTTTCAGGAGTAAACCACACATGGCACATATAAACCTTATATAAATATTTACTACAAAGACAGTGGTAAATTCTTATATTATTTTTCCAGTTTTTTTCTGTATGGGATGGCAGGGTCTTTCCAATTTGTCATTACTTTGAAAAGCATTAAAGTGCATATGACAGGACAGTCTACTTATTTTATTACTTTATTTATATTTAAGGTTTTAAAAAGCTACAAACTTTGCCTTGTTTTCTAGTTTTTTAGACAAGACAAGGCAAAGTAAGTTTATTTGTATAGCACAGTTCATACGCAAAGTAATTCGAAGTGTTTTACAGAATAAGAAATATATTAAAATCACAATACAAACAAATCAAAATATAAATCATCATAAAATTATCTGTTTAGCTAAAGTTTATAATTTTACTTCTCGGTTGATCATAGGCAGGAGATGTGACACATGTACAAGTAATTCCATAACCAATCGAAGTGTAAACAAGAGGCAAAGCTTAGCAAAATTACACAGTAGTTATTAACAGACTATTAAAAATGTATGACAACACCTCCAGTTTCTTAAATTAATGTTTAAACTGTGAGCTGTGTCCCTTGCCTGTAAATTGTCTTTGCATTTTGGATGGAATTTTGTGCATTGATACTTTACTTTGTGATGCTAACCTTACGCTTTGCTCTGTCTTAAGATCTGTTCTGACTTTATTTTAGCACAATCTGACCCAAAAGAGGTGATTTGTGCTGTTAAAGAAGCCTTTTTGTTGAAAATTAACCACCTAAATAGAACCATGAATGCTCATATTGATCATAGGCTCCTGAAAATATGCTGTTTAAATCCAGAGAATCTTAAAAAATTTTCGTCGCATTGTGTCACTCACTATGGTAACTAACATTCTGCCAATAGAGATACACGTACAGCACCCCCAGCGTGATGTTACTGCACAGTCAATTGATTATTAATTGAGAATATACATACAGGGATTTCTTTTTAGAACTCATTGCTACTTCCTGTATTCTTCAACTTCTTTGAACTTTTGTTCACACTTGACTGATATATACTTTGATACATGTTCACCACAAATGCTACTCCATCAAACAAAGTAAGAATCAGAAAAACATAAACTTGTCATATGGACTTTAAGCGGGGATAAAGAATGACTTATGTGAAGAAAACAGTTCTATTCATTTCAAAGAGCAAGGCTAGAGCAGTATTAGTGAGTAGTGCGGTGAATACCATGAGTAATACAGCTAAAGGTCAAACCACATTCAAAAGACAGCTATTCATGTTTTGAATTTTAAATATTCAATATACTGAAATTGTGTTATGTCAGCATGCTTTCAGATGTTTTATTATAATTTGTAGATTTAAATTATTTTGAATGTTTTAATAATTAGGAAATGTGTCTGAATGGTCAATGGTCACAGTTTATGTAAATTGTCTGGTGTGGTTACAAAGCCAAACTCAGTATCACATGGAGGGTGGGGTCCAAAAGTCTCAAAGGAAGGAAATGGAAGATTCAAAATAAATGATAGCAAACTATTTTAAAGATACACTATTACTTTTCTAGTAGAACATATCAGTGTAGTGTAGCAATAGTTCAGGTGTGTGATAAACGTTTATGAAGACCAATTACTGGATTTGAGTTTGCCCCGAGCTACTCCCCCAAGACGTATTTCAGGGCTGCAGTGTAAAGTAATGGGGAGAGACACTGGATTGAATGTCAAATTTTCTCAAGACTCTCTTCCATAGAACTCCATTCAGTTCGTTCTGATGAAGCAAACTCAAAGGGCAAACACAAGTATCAAAAAATAAAGAATTATATGAGCACATTTAACATGACATCTATGCAAATACACATTCAATTTTTAAAGATCTACATGTAGCCTAATACAAAATAACAACTTTATTTTATCTAGGTCAAGTTAGGGAGTGCGGCACACTTGCGCCCTCTGTTGACCAGCCGCTACTGCTCAGAATGCTTGCTCAGAATAATTATTTAGACAAGTGTCACGTGAAAGCTTGAATGAAAATCTCTGTCTCTTCATGTGTTGTAACTCTGTCTCCTCTGTCCTCAGTCCTCTCCAGGTATGTCTCGCAAGCAGGACAAGCCTCTGCCTGCACCTCCTCCCCCTCAGCGAGAGCCTCCTCCACCTCCTCCCCCCGAGCGTCCACCCCCATCCCCCCGGAGTCCCGCCTGTCCTGGCTCTCCACCCCCCTGTCCTCCTCCTCCATCTCCACCTCCACCAGTGCCCTGCCCGACTCGCACCTGTCCAAAGACCACCACCTGTCCGACTGCTACCGCGCCCCCGCCACGGAGCACCCTGCCCAGCTGGGTCTGAGCGGGTGCCCCCACCTCCACCGACGCCCAGAGAGCTGCCCGTCCATCGGCTCCACGCGGAACCACCATAGAGAGGGGAGTTCAGACAGCAGTAAGGTACGTTTAAATGAGTGAGCGGCCCCGTTTTCATTGTTTACGGTCATAGATTAGAACGGTTTGACCTATTTATACTTTGCAGTGACATCAGGCTGGGGGTTTTCTAAATGTTCCACCATTAGAGATACATGTAGCAGTTACCATGCTGACATGATACACACAATAACAAACACTGACCAAAACATTTTAAGAGGAAAAAGAAAGAACACAAAAAAGATTTAAACAACACATTTTCAGGAGCCTGTGATCAATACAAGTGTTCATGGTCTTAAGTTTTTGAGTTTCAACAAAATGGTGAGAGTGACTAACTGAAACACTGCTGGCTAGCTGCCTTGTGACTGTAATTATGTGTGTGAGAGACATCAGTGAGTTCTTTCTGGTAAGATTGTGTTAAAATAAAGCTCAGATTACTGTAAAATCTAAGTTGAGTAACAAAGCTTCTAACAGAGTACAGAGTAGTGCTTACATTTGCATCAATACCTATTTTACCTGTTACCTAATACCTATTTTGCATTCACATTATAATCCAAATTGGCCTTTTATAAATGCAGAGGTGGATAATACACAGGTACATTTCCTCAACTTTATAATGAATAACAGTGACATAAAACTAGTACTGTTACCTGAGTAATACTGTATTTTACAGTGTAACAGTACTGTTACTTAAATATATTTTTATTACTCTTCCTACTGTGAGTTTGCAAGTGACAAAATCTTTATGTTTAGTTTATGTATTTAATGAGACAGTGATAGTACACAATATACATTAACCTTAACAGGAGAGATGTATTGGACCAGGATGTAGCACCAGTGCTAATTTCCACCCATCGTCCCTGGGCAGGTTCATTGATTAATTGTATTTTCATTTATTTTAATTGATTAATTGACCTTAGCTATCAGCTATCAGATATTCTTCCTGGAAACCTGTGTAGCATGTTTTGGATTGTTGTTTATGTTGACAGTATTAAATGAGTTGAACATTTGTCTTTTTGCTCCTGGTATGATTTAGTTGTTCTTTTTTTGCAGTCCCTTCCTTACAATGACTATATTTTATGCATTATTACATTTTTGCTTCTAATTAGATGAACTTAAATGTTTTAAATACAGTAATACTAGAGTAATATTATGTTGACGTAACAGTATTTTTACTTGAGTACAGTTTTTGTCTAGTCTGTTCACCTCCAAATCTCAGTACATCTGTAATAATAACACTATGTACATGTGCTAATTTGCAGTTACATGAATTGGCCAGTTATAGAGAACCTTTCTTTATGTCCTTTCTCTCCTCCTGATCTCGAGGCACAATACACTGGGCATTCTGAATGAGCCAGCCTATTTCTCCCTACTCAGAAATACATTATTAGAAAGCAGGAGAGGGAACAAAAACACGACAGCTTTTATAATATTGTTTTCTATGAGCATTAGAGTTTGCAAGGGCTGCTCAGTTGTGAAATAATATCACGCACAAGGCAGTTTTGAGTTGTTTCTTATTCCCAAATGGGCGATTATCCAGTAAACCTGTACTCTGGTTCCAAGTTGGATAGTTCCCAGTTCCCCACAGCCAAGATTAGCAGTTGTTTGGCCTGAATTCATGCATGATCCTGAATAACATATGTACTGCAGTGTAAAAGAACTTAAAGTGCTTAAATTATCCATCTTTTAACAGCTAGATAATGTAAGTTTTCTGCCTGAAATGTTCCACAGTATGACATTAAACAGCTCTATCTTACATTTATTTATTTCCAAAAAATACCTAGAAAAACAGGCATTCTGACTAGATAAATAGATGATAGAAAGATTTGATACCATACTGTTAAACATTACAGGCAAAGCAAGAACATTTCCACAGAAAAAAAACATTTGACGGACCACCAGAAAAGTTACACATTGCACCTTTAATGGTGTTTTATTCATAATCAGGATCAGCCAGCACTTCTATCTGCTCCATTCAGTCATGTTGTGTCCAGTTAAACACCTGTCGCTGTTTTTGTGACTCTTGCAATGCATTGTGGTCTAAACTGATCAGTTTAGATGCCCGCTGCTTTTTGAGGTGCATTTTGGGTAATTTTGCGTGCACTATATTTTCACCTGCTGGTCATTCGGACACACCTAAAAATTGTTTGACCCCTACTTAGTGCCATACGTGGGAATAGTGTGAACAAAACGCTTTTATTTTGTTGAACAACTGTTTAAACTGCCAGAAAAATGCCTTTGTGTGTAAACTCAGCTGTTTCTGTATTTTGTGTAGAATTTTCAGTGTTGATGACATAGATAAAGGTATTCTGTTTTAGACGTACTCACTGCTGTTTCCTGTATTTTTGTACTTTTCTGTTTCTTTTTTACACAAACTAGAGGTAAGGATGTTTAATCGAATAATACGATGGTCCTACCAACTGAAAATAGTTTACTTTAAATCTGAAAACCTTTTAGCTGTCTCTGGATGTTCAAAGCATTGGTTATTTCTGCTAGTCCCTCCTCTAACAGTATTTAATTTGTTTACCCGTTGCTATGTTGATGCCCGCAGTGTGGTGATATAGAACAGTGATTAACTGTTGCCGGAAATACTTGTGCGGTTATACCATGGATCTGTAATAAAAACTGGATAAGGAATTCCCTCTCTGTGCCGAGTCGAGACCGACTAGCGGCTGCTCCAGGTACTGCAGCTCCCGGGAGCTCGGGCCCAGAATGAATTCTCCCATAGAAGCACAATGCATTTATTGGGTGACAGGGCATCCACAACTTTAACAAATGTCAGATTTTGTAGGGATTCTTTTCTGTTTTCACAACATAAACTTTTTTAAATGTTTAAATCCTCAAAACACCTAAAAGTGATTTTTGTAAGACTTAGCTTGGCCCTGATCCACGCCGTGCACGTTACAGATGTCACATGGGTTGGAGGAGCTCACCCATATTGAGGAAGTAAATGTGGAAGAGAAAATTTTTTGGGCCCATGCGCCAATGGGCACCGGCCACTGAAAAAAATATGACGCCATCTTGGGTTCACCTCCAGATTTTATTCTAGTTTTATGGATTATACAAAAATAATGAATGACAGTTCTTAAAGACCATATACCTTACAGGTATAAGTTTAACATCCTCTCTGTATATAGTTAATAATAAATTCTTCTAGGTGCACGATGTAACTTTTTGGTTGAGGGTCCTTCACCTGCCTGTTTCTGTGTAGATGTCATTGCTCTGCTTGAAATGTCCCACAGTATAACATTAAACATTCAATTATTATTCAATTACAAGTGGTTTTACAGCTCAAAAATGCTGGAATTCTGAATGCGAGCGAAGGGTGCCTCTTCACAAATCCGACCTATAGCTTGGTCTGGTTTGGTCTCCATGAAGATTAATGCCATACTGTGAAACGTGTGAAAAATCCCTCAGTCGTCCAGGTAGAATCCATGGCAAGGAGAAAATTCAGTTTGTCGATTGGACAAAAGTTAGTTTGGTTGAAGACGTTTCGCAAACGTTTCAGAACTGAAGAAGCAGCTTGGATGAGCTGCGAAACGTCTTCAACCAAACTAACCTTTGTCCAGTCGACAAACAGAATTTTCTCCTTGCCATACTGTGAAACATTCAAGACAAAGCAGTAACGTCTCACAAAGAAAAGCATTTAGTTTTAGTTAGTATAGTTTAGCATATAGAACAGGATACAAAACGGCAAAACTATTTACAGAAAACAACACAAAAATCATCTTTGCAGTGTGCAAAGAATACATACTTCTTTTGGTATAGACACATACACAATACAGACACACAGTCCAAAACACATCCATGTTCATACACAGACATACACACGCTGACCCAAGTATACTTTAGTATTCATACCTATTGATATATAAATACACACACTTTGTAAAATTGAGGGTTATAGTTAATCTGTAAGTTCCATGAGGATTTGACAGACGTACACGGACGGACCAGAAAAGTTAAGCTGTGCACCTTTAAAGACATCCAAACTGGTTTACGATGGGATTAGATGTTCTATTTTCAGACCAAATTAATGAAACACGCTTTTGTTTGATGTTGCACAAATCCTAATGAGTTTACATTCTTGTCTTTTGTTTACACTCTGCAGTTTCAGTGAGAGAGAGATAGTGCTGGGTTTATGAGCCAGACCACATGTTTTTTATTGTTTTAACGTTCAAGAGGGATTTTGTGTCAGGCCTGATTTAATAACTCATTTTTTACGACTCGACTGTGGCAAAACTATAATAAAAGACTGAATAAAGCCCAGTCACTTTGTTGATAAGGTGTGAAACAGTTTGCAAATATTAAAGCCTGTAGCTAGTCTTGTAATAATCATCTCATAATAAGAGAGAGAAGGAGCTGACCATTCACAACAAAAACACTCCAACGAGACAGCCACATTTATTGCTATGGAAATGGCTCTAGTGCATTTACATAATTTGGCCCTCACTCCGCTTTAGTTATACAACAACACACAAAGTAACTCACTAACGCGCTAACACACTGCGCTTCTGGGGCAGTCTTTGATCACTTCAGATCCCCCGTGGAGCGCGTTGTCCTATCCACTAATATGCATCTTTTTGATTACTTATTTACATAGCTTTTGTAGTTTTTTTGTGCAAGTTTAACTTCAAAGACAGCTATAAACTTATATTATTTTTTTTGAAGGTGCATTGTGTAACTTTTCTGGTGAACGGCCTGTCAAATACTTTTCTTCATGGAGATGTTATTGCTTTTGACAATGACATCTCCATAGAAGTGACAGATCCTCCACCAGAAAAGTTACATAATGCACTTTATAGGTATACTATGTCACTTCGCTGGAGGGTGTACCATCTGCTTGTTGTCATGGAGATGTTATTGTTTTGCCTAGAATGTCCCATTGTATTTTACATATCTTTTTTTTTTTTCATTTATTCAATTACAGTTGTTTTTATTGCTCAAAAATTACTATGCTTTCTTCTTTGAGTAGGCTCGCCTCTCCACACATCTGACCTATAACGTGATCAAAATGTTTCCAATGAAATAGATAAGTTTAATGCCATATTGTGAAACATTCTAGGCAAAAACATCTCCATCCTGTTGAAAACATACATAGTGAACCTTTAACACTGAGGTTGTGTTATTTATCCCAATTTTCTTCCATGTATTTATGGTGATGTTTCAAAAGGCTGGTTTTGTCCAAAGTTTATGCGAAATTGAGTGTTAGTTGCCTTAGTAACACACGTTCAATACAAATATGATTTCATTCACACCCTTTGCTTAATGTGAGGGTCAGCTGTGTGAGTCTGACTGGTACACATCCCAAATCTGACCTCACTGGCGTTCATAGTACATCTCTTTAATATATTGCGTAACTTATTTAAGAAATTGTACTTTTCAGAGCATTCTTCTAGCGGCATACTTATCCCTACCTGAATAATATTTTATAGGGAAGGAACAGTACTTACTTGAGTAAAAGTTTTAGTTACTCTTCCCATTGTGAGTGAGTAAGTGACAAAACCTTTACATTGACAATAGGGCTGGGTAACATTAAGAAGTTGTCGATATGATACAAACTTCGATGTATAGGCCACGATACGATACAGTGAGCTTTCGATTTGATACAATATATTTCAAATCAATTCGATACAGTTCAATAAAAAAATAATGGCTAAATCATGGCCACTTCTTGTGCAAAGTGATTATGAAACAGGCACATTTTACCCATTAGAACAGTGAAAATTTCCCGAATACCTTTTTACTCTTTTATGTATCACTACTTTGTACTTCTATTTGAGTAATATTTATTATTTATTTATTTTGAAGCAACATTACTCTACATTACTTGAGTATGATTGTCTACTCTCCCCACCTCTGATCCGGTGTCACAACTCATCTCTCTTGTACTTGGCGCGTCTAAAAGACATTCTATTCATAGCAAATGCCTTTTTAAAATTCCCTATGTAACTAGCCCTTATACATCTTGTACAAAGCATTGTTGTTCTACTGATAATACAAATTCTGCCAGTTGTCTCCTTAATCTATGAGCTGTCTTCTCAAAGGTTTTGCTATGCAGTCCAATTATGCCTATATCTCCAGTGTGTGTGCATAGAAAATGAAATCTCACCCAAGGGAGCATTTTTCTATCGTGCTAGGATAGTGGACTAATATTGTTTATCGATTTCACTTACAAATAATGAAGCTAAGGGGTTGATAGTGAATTAGTCATATTGCCAGTTTAAAGGGTCCATGTTAGGCTGTTTTCTGATCTATGTAATAATGTTGTTTCCTCATTAGAAACATACCTGGAGTTAGGGCTGGTTATCACAAATATTGAAATCTCGATTATTCAAACGATTATTTTTAGTTACACGATGCATTTCTTCAGCATATCTCTCTCAAAAAAAGAGTTCGTTATTGATAATTTACGCAAAACTTTCAAATTGGAAATAAATATAGGCTACAAATATGTACCTTAGAGCAGTTTTGGGATGTATGACACAATAAAATTAAACAAATGTATACTTTGAACATGAAATAAGGCATAGAAAAGCATAAATGTATCCAAAATAAACTATATATCCAGCTATTCTACAATGTCTATATTTAAATAAAATAAATATAGTTATTTATATTTTTAAAAATCCCAAAATAAACTTTGTTAAGCTTTAATTGTTTCAACTTGATTATATGAGTTTGGAGATCGTCTCACACACAAATCGAAAAAATCGCGATCAAAATTCAATTAATTGCACAGCCTTACCTGGAGTTGTGTTTTGTTTCATTCACACATGTTTAACACACAAACTCTGCATATTTTGAGTTCTCTGTTCCACCTTGTGATGACATGTGGTGATACAGGAAGTGCTCCACTGTGTTCTTGAACTCCGTACACCTTCACTAGAAGCATTTGGATGATTTCAACCCCAGAATGCCCAATCTGTCCTGAACTAAAGATAAAAAAGAGCTGTTAACTTGAAAACTACTGCTTCATGACATCACAAGGTGGAAAAGAGGATTTTGAGCTTTAGAGATGTAGACAGACTAAAATAACTCAGTTACTCAAACGTGTGAATGAAACAAAAAACAACTCTAGATGTTTTTGATGAGGTAACAGCATTTTAACATGACTTTAAAGTTCACAAGAGTCAATTGTGTGTAATATAGGACCTTTAAATGTCACACTGTGGAACATTGCAGCATCTCCAGAGACAAGAAACCAACAGACACCCCCAAAAGAAAAAGTTGCATAGTGCAGCTTTAGTTTTTATGCAGCCAAAATACAAGTCATTTCAAACTTGTACATTTCGTAAGTGCAGGTGCTGGAGCGTTCTGACATAGTGCGTTCCATTCACTCTCCTTCCTCTGTGTTTTTGCCATTGCAGCCTTTTTCCAATGGAGTACAAGTCAGTGATGAATATGACATCCTCCCAACGCGCCTCTCTCCAACTCAGCCCTGCCTCGCCAACAGCCACAAGTAAGTACACACACACACACACAAATACACACATGAGTACACACACAAGTACACACACAGGTACACACATGAGTACAAAGAGGAGTACACACACAGAGCCAACTCTAAAACCATAACATTTATCATCAAAAGCAGGTTTCTTTTTGATTTTATTTTGTAGTTTTGTAGTGTTTTTTTCCCCCTTGTTGTGTGTGTTCATAAAGCAGGTGATAAAATAAAGCATGTTATAACAGTAGAATGTGGCTTAAGTAGGTTTCACATGGAGGTCGGGGATATGAAAAAAAATTTGGGATGCACCAATCGAAAGCTGTTATTGAATATTGGCGGGTTGGATATCGGCCTAACTGCTTCCAGATTTATCTTGTAACCCTGTATGTTTTGACATGTTATAGATACAAATGAACACTTCTTCTTTTTGTTTATTGTTGGTCATACTTTTTTAATAGCATTATGAATTTGAATATTTTTGGTGTAATTTATATTATTTCCAAATAAAGGTTCTTTTTTAACAGACCAGTGATGTCTTGGGTCAGATTCACACAGATTTTTGCTCCATTCTGCCACTGGTGGGGGAATAGCGCCATCTGCACTCCAGTCCCACTTCTCCAGAACGGCTTTCCAGGAACATGAAAGTTGATAGGTCCCCCTCATCCCTGTTTATTGTCCTGTGAGCTCATCTCTGGATCTCAATAGCCTCCTGAATCCAGCTTCTGTGTTTGTTGTCCTCCATCACATTATTTTAGCACTTTTCCCCAGTCCATGATATGTGCAAAATCTGTGTAAATCAGCTGCAAGACACTAGCCTGATTCATCAGCCAGTTTTACTTCATTTCACTTCGTACAAACCGTCTGACCTCGCACTGTTAGAATTTGTTCGCTCGACGGTAGGCAGATACATTTTATCATTTAACCAATCGCTGCGTGTAACGTGTGTAATGCGCCGCTAATGAGGCTAACTGGTATATTAAGCTTTTCCCAAATCCCAGGGAAGAAGGGCAATAACGTCTTTCCCCTTGATAAAATTCACCAAACATCCTCTTTATTCCAGCTTTAAATCCTCGATCTTGGGAACTGAAGAAGGAAGAGGGATGCAGAGGCCCTCCAAAACATGTCAGAGTATTTATAAACAACACACTGGTCCATCAAAAAAGAAATTGTATTTGTAAATAATATTGTAAGACTGAAATTAAATTCTTTGAACTATAATAAATTAATTTCAATATTATCATTTATCGTCTAAATTTTCTTCAACAATTTATCACACTGCAAAATCAAAATCTTGACAGTCCTATATCCAGCCATAGTTTCACATTTCGTGCCTATTGTCAGTAATACTCTGGGCTGAAACACATTTCTGTTAAAAGTGATCTCACCATGCATCCTTCTCCCTCTTTCTCCCTAAGTTGTACCTTCCTCTTCCTCCCCACTGTGGTTTCCGACAGACACTTTCTCCCAGTGAAATCTCGTAGCCTTGGGGAGAACTCCTGGTTTGAAACAGCTTTGAAAAATGATGGCTGCTCAGCTAATAGCCTTTTAGCCGCGGTCTGAATTAGATTAGGTCTCTGTGTGTATCAGGCTCCGTTCCCAGGCAGGGGATGGAGCTGTCACATGTGATGAACATCCAGCCCACCGGGGGAAGCTATGCGCCTCCCGACACTGTTCACTCTTGTAAAGTACCGTGGCTATGGTGAGTGACATGGCTTCCCCGTGTACAGAGCACGGCCCATTTAATGTACGAGATCATGTGTTTGGGTTGTGCATGTAGGGCCCGTGTTACGAAATTTTTTGATCTACGTCATCATGTTGGAATGGAAAATGGAAAATGCTCTGTTCTACCTCGTGATGTCATGTGGCAATACAAGTGCTCCACTGTGTTTTTAAACTCCATGCATCTTCACTTGAATGATGATTTCAGACCTGAAATTACTCTACAGTGATCCCTCGTTTATCGCAGGGTTACGTTGTAAAAATAACCCGCGATAGGTGAAATCCACAAAGTAGTCAACTTTATATTTTTACAATTATTATATTCGTTTTAAGGCTGTAAAACCCCTCACCACAAACTTTATACACTTTTCTCACACCCTTTCTCAGCCCTTTTTTCATCCTTCTTAAAACTTATTGCTACTGTCGTCCTTTAGTTATTTTCGTCCTTTATGTAACTAACCAAAAATTAATTTATTCCGTAATGGCGCCCTACAGCATAGAGTCCTGCATGGGTCCATTTTTGGAGACCCGCACCCGCGCAGTAGAGCACCGCACCTGCCAGGACCTGCCCGCACCCACCCGTTAACCCGAGATTATATCAAACGTTTGCGCTGCATACGCTACGGATTTAACCAAGACTAAACAAGGACTAACCCAGGTCTAACCTAGAAATGATTCCATGACTGAAACAGGTGAACTGAACTAGGACTAAAACGGGACTAAAACAGGAGTAAACAGGACTAAAGCAGGACTAAACCTGAAACTGAAACAGGACTCACTGTCGGGACGTGCTCGGAGGTGACCGCAGGAGAAAGGACCGGCTCAGGCAAGGCAAGGCAAGGCAAGTTTATTTGTATAGCACAATTCGTACACAAAGTAATTCAAAGTGCTTTACAGAATAAGAAATACATTAAAATCATAATAAAAACAAATCAAAACATAAATAATCATGAAGATTAAAATGAAAAAAGAGAGACATAAATTGGAGAGAAGAGTGCGGAATGAAAACCTTTCAGTTATATGCACAGTTAAACAGAAATGTTTTGAGTCTGGATTTAAACAGCGTCACAGAAGAGTCTGTCTCACATGTTCAGGAAGACTGTTCCAGGTTTTAGCTGCATGAACCTGAAACGCTGACTCCCCTTGTTTAGTTCCTGACTCTGGGCACCAGCAGGAGGCCGGTCCCTGAGGTCCTCAGAGTGCGAGATGGTTCATATGACACTAACATGTCACAGATGTACTTTGGTGCTCGGCCATGGAGAGACTTGTACACAAGCAGAGCTGCTTTAAAGTCTATTCTCTGAGGCACAGGAAGCCAGTGCAGAGACCTGAGCACAGGACTTATGTGCTCGTACTTCCTAGTTCGAGTAAGGACCCGAGCTGCAGCGTTCTGGATGTTCTGCAGCGTCTCACAGCTCGTTTGGAGAGACCAGTGAGCAGACCATTACAGTAGTCTAACCTACTGGAGACAAACGCATGGATAAGTTTCTCCAAGTCTGCTTTAGACAGTAAACCTTTGATTTTTGCTATGTTTTTTAGATGGTAAAAGGCTGCAGATGTTATTGATTTGATGTGGCTGTTAAAGTTCAAGTCTGAGTCCATTATTACCCCTAGATTTCTTGCCTGATTTGAAGGTCCGCACCTTACGGAGGTAAACGCAGCCGTCGCCCCATCGTGCTTTGCGGACACCCTGCTTCGGTGTTCTCTCTCTTAAATCCAATATTAGTCCTGGTTTAGACCTGCTGTAGTCCTGATTTAGTCCTGACCCACCCATGTGTAATCACTACCCTCCCGTAAAATTCCAGAACGTTAAATCCTGCCCGTTTCAGCAACTATTTGCCCATACCCAACCCGGTGCAGGACTCTGCCACAGCCACGTAACATCTACCTTCTTTCAGCGTGTCCAGAAGTCCAACTTTTTGTGCGATGGTTAGCATCTTCCTCTGCCTTTTGGGTGCGACCGCAGGAGCCTTTGTCTGTGCAGAACATTTAGTTTTCGTACATTGTGGGTTTTGAGAAAACGTGCAAACATACAGTACTTCAGCATCACACTGTTAGCCATCGAACAAATTTGGCAGCTTAACGCATTCTGTACTGTACAGGAGACACGGCACGGAGGAGATTGATTGACAATGGTCTATAGCCAATCAGGATGCAGGGGGAGGAATGAAATGCACGTTAATACACTGCAAAAAAAAAAGGCATTCAAAATTGCACCAAAAAAAAAAAACAGCAAGACTGCAAAAAGTGAACCGTGATATAGCGAGGGATGACTGTACTGAACTGAAGGTAAAAAGGTAGCTGCTTACTTGAAAACTACCACCACATGACATCACAGTGTGAAACAGAGAATTTTGAGCTTTAGAGATGTAGACAAAAACAGACAAGAGTCAATTTAGAATAATATAGGACCTTGACTGCTTGAGAACAAATTGGTTTTCATATAAAAGTCCTTCTAATACTTCAATTGCGTTTGCACTTAAAACCTCAATTTACTTCAGCAAATTCTTACAAGTCACTCACCTTGAGCTTGCGGCATTTTCGTAACTCAACAAAAGATAGATTTGAAAAGGCTATGAAGGGGCTCTCAAAGATTTAAACTGTTATTTGTCCAAGGAGATTTCTAAAGCTTTATTTTCAGAATGGATTCACTAAACAATGTGTTCCAATAGGCTTCTGTGGCTCTGAGTTGAAACTAAGCAATTATACAGCCCCAGCACTGCCTGTTCTCCTGCCTGTGTAATCATTCACTCGACTGACTGGAGGAGTTACTGTACTTTGGACCCGTGTAGCTCCTCATTATAACGGGCTCCAAACACATGTTCTCTTATAATGGCAGCATGTTCAACCCCCTATGAAGCAAAATGAGTTTATGAGTGCTTTTGTTAAAGGGCCTATATAAACAATTTTCAGATCTGATTCTGTATAATGTTATTTCCTCATCACAAATATGAAATATCTTGAGCTGTCTTTGGTTTTCCTTGTACACGTTTAACACACAAATTCTGCACATTTAAGCTGAATTCTCAAAGTGAAAACACTCTGTTCCACCTTGTGATGTCATGTGGTAATATAGGAAGTGCTCCACTGTGTTTTTAAACTCCATACACATTTCTAGAATTATTTCAATGATTTCAGCCCTGGAATTGCCAATCTCTACAGATCAAAAAGTAAAAGTTAGATTTTAACTTGAAAACTACCACTACATGACATCAAAAGCTGGCATAGAGCATTTGGAGCAGACATGTCAAACTCAGGCCCAGAGGCCAAATTTGGCCCGCGATATTTTACTTTATATTTATTTATATATATTTTATATTTATATTATTTTATATTTGGCCCAAATATGTATTAGAGTTGGCCCGCCGGCTACAAATAGGCTATAGAGACATTATTTATTTAAAATGTTGTTATTATTTTATATTATGCTTGTTCTGGATTCAGTGTTTAAGCAAAGCTATTAATAAACATTTATTTTAATAAGAAAAGGTTTAACATTACATATCTCGAAAGAAAATAAAACATGTAGATGTTGTTAAAATTCTTTAGTTTGGCCCATGACTTAGTCCCAGTTTTTAATTTGAGTTTGACACCCCTGATTTGGAGTTTTGGCATTGCAGACAGTTCAAAAATGCCTATTTACTCAAACATGTGTGAATGAAACAAAACACTACTCTGTTTTTGATGAAGTAACAGTATTATAACATGGCTTAAAGCTCACAAGACTCAATTTCACATAATATAAAACCTTTAAAGACAGTGTTGTGAAGTAACTAACTATATACCAAAATGAATATTCAGAATACTAATTTGGAGTGTAACTGTATCCAGGTACAGTTGCCCTTTCATTTGAATACCTCATTCAGACTACTTACTTTGCTAAAATAAAATGAATACATTGCAGTACTTGATCACGCTATTATGCTTCAAAGTGCACAGTATAAGCGAGAAAGCAGCTCTTGTATTAAGTGGATGCACTTAATTCATAGTAAATAAATAACCATGGAGATAAAGCAGTTTTAATCCTGTTGCAATTTTACACTATATTATAATGCAGCTCCACTCAGTGCTTAAAGTATCGAAAGAGTTCAGAATAAAATACTATGACTGGACAATTGTACCATTGTACCAGGTCAAACATAGGAACTCAAATAATCTTTTAAGGCAGAATGACGATTTGTTTTTCATTTCTGTACAAACATAATTATACTTTTGCTTTGGTTTAATTTTGAAAAATAAATATTGTTTTTGTAGATCGTCCAACCCCTTTAGCAGCCCAGCCGTGGAGAGAAAACGCGGAGCACCAGACCGACCAGAGAGACCAGAGAGACCAGAAGACGAATACCAGATCCCCTCATCTAACCTGTGTCTGAGCCAGGCCCCTCTCTGCATCTCTGTGCCCACCAGGTACCATCCGCCCCCTCTGTTACCATGGAGACACACAAATGTGACATAATATACCCATGACACTGTCAAACTTATCCGACCTGCTTTGTTTAGGCACTTAGAGAACGGGTCCCCTGAGCCCCATGTGGAGGAGAGGAAAACCAGACCAGACCCAGGTACGGTTCACTTGGTTTTTATTTTGTCCTGTCTATGTAAAGCGTATTTGAGTTAGTAGTAATGGTAGTAGTAGTAATAGTAGTAGTAGTTGTAGTTGTAGTAGTAATAGTTATAGTCGTAGTAGTCGTTGCAAAAGTAGTGGTAGTACTAGTTGTAGCAGGTGTTGTTGCAGTTGTAGTTGTTGTTGTTATAGTAGTAGTAGTTGTTATAGTTGTAAGTAGTAGTAGTTGTTGTTGTAGTTGTTGTTGCTGTTGTAGTAGTAGTAGTAGTAGTAGTTGTTGTTGTTGTTGTTGTTAGTAGTAGTAGTAGTAGTAGTTGTTGTAGTAGTAGTAGTAGTAGTAGTAGTAGTAGTTGTTGTTGTTGCAGTTATTGTTGTAGTAGTAGTAGTAGTAGTTGTAGTAGTTGTAGTTGCAGTAGTTGCAGTTGTAATAGTGCAAAATTTGTAAAGGTGCACTAAGTTTTTTGGAGGACAATCAGCTAGCTGCCTTAGTGCTTTCCCTGGAATGTTACACAATAAAGCATTACACTTATTTATCTTCACAGCGGCAAACAGGTGACACCAAGTCACCTGTCAGATCTGTGGAGAGGTGACTGCCCTCACTTAAAATGTTAAGATTCATGATATATTTTCTGGCATATAAGAAGACTCTGAATCATGTTACAAATGTCAATAAAAACACTTGTGATTAAATACTGTGGAACATTTCATGCAAAGGAGTTACATCTCCATGGAAACAAGGCAAATAGCAGACCCGTTTCCCTGCTGGCACCACCAACCTTTAAGAAAACTGGCTAGATGATGTATTTCTCCATTCTTGGGTGTTAAAGTTGTTCAAATCTTCGAAGCGTATGTTTTTAAACCTTTCTCTAGCTGAAGGGGATCAAGTATTGGAAAATTTTATTTCTGTCAATCACTGAGTTTTATCACCTGAAGGCAACACAAACAAACTGAAATTAAAGCCTTCCAAGAGACATTTGCATCACTGGAAAATAAGGCAGTACCAAGACAGAAAGAAAACATCAAACGCAAAATGTACCCACAGGAATCAACATACGTTATTTATTCTAAGAAATACATCAATTTTTGGAAATATTATATCTTAGTTGAGATGCAGAAATGTGGCTGTAGATAAGAAAAGAAAAGACGAGACAGTAGAATCTTTATTTGTTTTACAATGGGGACAGTACATGAACAGTGTGGTGAAAATATACAGTCAAAAATTAAATCTAAATGTATAAGAATATATAAATGTACTGAATAAAATAAAAATACAAGATGGAGGGAGAATAAAGTTTCAAAGGTAGTCGTCTGGACACTGTTTTTAAATATAGACATTTCAACTGCCGTCCAGAAGTCATGTCAGAATGGAGTAAAAAATTGTCTTAATAAAGGAGGAGTAAAGTCAAGCTATGCTACAAAAACTATTATGAACAATAAGTATCTATGGCTATGGTTATCTTATCATTTTATTCTTATAACGTCTTATTTAAAGGTGTATTATGTAACTTTTCTGACATGTGGACGTTATTGCTTAAAGTTTTATATGTGGTTTTGTTCTCGACAGGTGTACCCCCCGAGTCGGGTAGCAGGGGCGCACCTGTCTCCTCCTTCAACGCCAACAAGACCCCCTGTGACTATGACATCCTACTGCCTGCTTCAGGTACACACCATCTCTCTCTTCTCTCCTTCTCCCTCCTTCTCTCTCCCCTTCTTTCCTCCTCTTCTCTCCTCCTCCTTACTCCTCCTTCTTTCCTCCTCCTTCCTCTTCTCTCCCTTTCTCTTCTCCTCCTCTCTCCTTCTCCTTACTCCTTCTCTCCTCCTCCCTTCTCCTCTCTCCTCTTCTCCTCTCCTCCTCCTCCCTCTCCTCCTCTCTCTCTCCTCCTTACTCTCCTCTCCTCCTCCTCCTCCTCCTCCTCTCCTCCTCCTCCTCTCTCCTCCTCTTTCCTCCTCCTTATTCTTCCTTCTCTCCTCCTCTCTCCTCCCCTTTCCTCCTCCCTCTCTCTTCCCCTCTGTCTCCTGTCATTGTCTGTCCTTTTACATACTGTCACAGCCATCCCCTCACGCTTTACCGGTGTTGTCGTTCTCTCCTTCCCTCCTCTCCCTCCTCTCCCTCCTCTCCCTGTCTGTCCTCTACACTCTGTCACAGCCATCCCCTTACACTTTACCGGTGTTGTCCCTCTCTCTTTCCCCTCTCTCCTCTCCTCCCCGTCTCCCTGTCTATCCTCCACACTCTGTCACAGCCCTCTCTTTACTCTGTCCCTGTGTTGTCCTGCACTCTGCTTCTCTGTGAAACATGTCAAACGCCCAGCGCTTGTGTGAAATGCCCAGACCTCAGTGTGAAATGCCCAGACCTCAGTGTGAAACGCCCAGACGAGGTGTGGATGAAGTCTGTGTCCGACTCCTCTTCATTTGCTTCTCCTTCTTATGTGTGCTGAATTGTTTTCGTGGACAGACCATTTTCAGGCTGCTGTCAGATCCTGTATTCCAATTATACGCGGGCTACACAGGGCTTATTTCACTGTGAATGAACAGGCTCACAGATGGACCCTGACAGTTTGTTTATGGCGACGAGGCACAAACAAATGGTTTTACACAAATTGGGAAAGAGTTTCAGAGGGAGTCACCAGCTTGTGTTTCTGGCTGCTCATGTGTTTTTATGCATGACTTATGGAGGCGGTGGTAAAGACGTAACTGTAACCAAATACTGTGGGATTGTCATGTAGAGCTGCAAGATTAATTGCAATCGAAACAAAATCTGAGTTGGCGCAATTATAAAGGCTCCAATTAATTAGATCCTGTCTAATAAATTGGAGCCTTTGCATTGAAAGGTCCTATTTTGCGTTGATAGGTATTTTTTTAATAGAAGAATATTGTGGTACATGTAGTTCAGACCACTACAAACATGTTTTGAGTCGCATGGGATTCTGGCATTAGTTTATCATTATATTATGTTATTATTATATTTCAGTCTAATGGTCTGTTTACACGAGAATCCTTGTGGGTAAAAACGACAAAATATTTTATCGGAAGTGCCTTTCGTTTAGACGGTGACTGTGTTTTTGGGGCTTAAAAACGCAAAAATCTGAAACCTCCCTCCAGAGTGGAAAAGTTGAATACACTCCATCATAATGTTTCCGTCTACACTGCCCAAGACGCAAAACTCTGGTCAGGTCTGCTCATCACTTTTGCGTCACTGTGTGCATGCAGAATTCCTCCTGAAAACTCTCGTCTTAACGCGGAATAAAAAGTGAAGACGTGACACCACGTTTGCGTCTTCTGTTCAGACCATTCAGCCTATGACAATCATTACTATATTGACTTATTGTTCAATACATGGTAGATATTATCGTGGGTATATCTTTCTTTGTATTAGTGAGAATTTTTGAGTATTTTTTGCAAGATGTTACAATTTTAACTATAGAAAGTAAAATTACGAACTATGACTCATTGTAGATACAAAATATAGTGTTTCATTCTGCTTTCATTCTATGTTTTTTAACAATATTGTGCATTTAGAGGAACATTCTGCTTTAGGGTTTGGTTTCAGTGTTATCATTTATCATCTATATTTACTTCAAATGAGAGAACTACATGGACCATGATCCTTTACTTGATTTCATACAACCATAGACTGTATATATTAAGGGACATAACTAACACACTAGCCGCCGTTCCAAATAGACAATGTTTTTCAATGTAAAGACAAATGGAGTCGGAAGCATCCCCTTGGTCACTTCCTATTTGGAACACAGTGGCTCGCTGGTTAGTTGTGTCCAATCCTATTCCAACTTTATTTGTATAGCATATTTTATAAACAAGACAGTTTCCAAAGTGCTTCACATCTCAATGTAAAAAACATTTTAGTTAAAAAAAAAAAAAAGTAAGAATCAATAAATAAAATCAATACATAAAAGCAGTACTAAAAAAATAAAATAGATTAAATAGCTATGTCTATTTAAATATACAGTCTATGGTTTAAATTGACATTTACATTTACAATTTTATTTTACTTTGTTTATTTACTTCAAACAAGAGAACAACATGGACCATGATCCTTTACTTGATTTCATACAACCATAGACTATATATATATATTTATGGATATAGCCAACGCACTAGCTGCCGCGTTCCAAACAGGAAGTTCACCAGGCAGCTCTTCTGGCTTACTGATCCTGGCTCCCTTTGACTTACATTGGAATATTGCCGTCCCTCTCTCTGTGACTGCTGCTGTGAGCCTCGTCATTTTGGTCTTAAATTGTTCGTCTTAACCCGCTCTACATGATCCTGTTTTTTTCTCGCTGTTTTGTCCTCCAGATTGGCTCCTATAACTGTTAGCATCATGAGTTTCATTTGAGTGGCACTGAATGGTATGGGCTTTTTACACAGTCTATGCATACAACATAAAGAAATAACTGTCATTAAGCACTTTTACATCTTAATTCTTTGGAAGTAATTATTTGCACCATAATCTTGTCAAGGCAAGGAAAAGACAGCATTATATAATTCTGTTTGCCTTTCCACAATATTGTAATAAATATCGTAAAAGTGAGATTTGCATGTGGTTACATCCCTAGTTAATCTCCTGAGTGGCCTCTTCGTGTTAGCGTTGTCTGTTGTCTAACGCAGTGTGTAAATGCCGAGCGTCTATAAGCAGCGTGTGGAAATATTCAGTGTAATTAGTGCAGTTGTGGAGCTCCGTGTTATTCTCTGATGTTAATGAGACTATTTTTGTGTTGTGTCCCTGATCCATACACACATGTCTGCAAATAGCATATTAATTTACTACAACAGTTTCGCACATAATTGCATGTACTTTATTATTTCAAACACTTCCAAGACATTACTGAAGGAGTGATAAGAGAATACTTGTAGAACTTTAAGTGGAATGATGTAAGTAATGATGACACTTTCTTACTGATAAAATTAGAGCTTTTAGTGGTGTTTAGAAATGTTAGAATACTGCGTGTCAAATCCATTTAACATTTTAACAGTGGGGCACCTGATTTTATTCGACTAGATGAGCACATTTTGTTGTTTTTTTCCATTGTGTATGCTTGTTAAAACTGAACGCTGTCAGCTTTTTATTCTGTATTTTATCGATTGCAAACCCATGGAAAGGGCCACCCCTGCTCCACTCGGGGCATTTGAAAAAGCTGCAGTAAAGACATGCACACAGCCAAAAACTTATGCGTGTGAATACCAGCAAAGTGCCTAAGGGTTTGTAGAGCTTGGAACTAGTTAGAGAGACTTCAATACCTTCTTTTTGCAGTTTGAAACTTAGGTAATATTGATGAAATTTTGCTCAGCCGGCTAACTTTGGTGTATTTGGATTGTATAATGTTGATTAATGTGCAGTGTCCCTTTTCAAAATAATAAATGTACCTTTAAAATAATTGTAAGTTACCTAGTTTACTAATTACTAGGGATGTAACAATAACTGAAATATATATCATGGACCGTCACAATATATCGAATTACAAGTCTCTTTGCCTAAATTAAGAGTTATGATGCAGCAATAGCTAAAAAAAAAACAGAGGGAACTACATAGACCATGATCCTTCGCTCTATTTCAGTATAGACTACAAGAAGAAATAACAGGTCTAAGCACTTTAAGTCTTAGTTTTTTGGATTAAGTCTTGTCAAGGCATTTTAAGAGGAAAAAGTAGCACATTCGCCTGCACAAAATATTGCAATAAATATCGTACCGAGAGATTTGGATATTGTTACATCACTAATCCTGAGCCTCCCCACCATATCGTGAGCTTTCCCAGGATATCGCAATAAATATCGTACCGTGAAGTTCATACCGTGACGATATCGTATCGTGAGACTTGGATATCGTTACACACCTATTAATTACATTTTATTTTACTTTACAAATGTCCCTGTTCAGTACCATAGTGACATAGAGCACATATTCAGCCCATATCAGATTCATACACAGAATTATCAATTATCTATGTAACGTTTCTATATGTACTTTTTCCTGAAATGATCTGCAGTATGTCATTAATTGTACATATCTTGCATTTATTCAATTACCCTACATGAGTGCGGTTCCCTCGTCACAGATGTGGCTTTTCCTGGTATTTCTTTGAGAAGCGTGAGCACTTCTACCTATAAGAGCTCTCCTATTGCACCTATATATGCAGCAACAATTCATTCTGAGTTTCTTTCACCTCTCCGCTTTATTAACTTATACTGCTGCTGTCACTGGTCCCGCTCTTCTCTGTAGTCTCTGCTCGAAAATACAGACACATTCTCAGGAAGCAATGAGCCACGGCTTTGAGGATGTAATAAACAAAAATATTAATAAATATTGTAAATTCCATAATTAAAGCCACTGGAGGCAAAAAGTGAAGTTGAACCATACACTGAGTATGGACATATATGATTGGAACTTGATGTCATTTGAATACATTTACATTTTAAAACATAGACTGCATAAAGAAGTGGACTAAGGGAGTTTTATATCACCCATAGTGTTCAGCTCCAGTCAAATGAAGCTCATGATGGTAGCTAGGGGTGTGCAAAAATATTGAAATATTGATATATCGTATTGCTTAATGTGATGATACAGTATCGATATCGTGGACTGCTGCATCAATATATCACCAGAGTATTTTTTAGGGGCGTAACAATATCCAAGTCTCACGATACGATATCGTCACGGTATGAACCTCACGGTACGAAATTTATTACGATACCGTGGGAAAGCTCACAATGTGGTGGGGAGGCTCACAATTAGGGATGTAACAATATCCAAATCTCTCGGTACGATATTTTCACGATATACATCTCACGATATTTATTGAGGTATTTTTGTGAAGGCTTATATGCTACGTTTTCCTCTTAAAATGCCTTGACAAGGCTTAATCCAAAGAACTAAGACTTAAAAGTGCTTAGAACTGTTATTTCTTCTTGTAGTCTACACTGAAATGGAGCAAAGGATCATGGTCTATGTAGTTCCCTCTGTCTTTTTTTTAGCTATTGCTGCATCATAACTCTTAATTTAAGCAAAGAGACTTGTAATTCGATATATTGTGATTGTCCACGATATTATTGTGAGAACTTTGACGATATGATATCACAATATTTTGGTTAGTGTTAAATCCCTAGTATTTTTTCATATATTTTACTAAATTATTTTGTTACCGCTGCAGTTTTGTTGCTTGTTTAGAGAAAGGAAACTTGTTTATGCGACACATTTGACATTTTCACTGTTTTGAGAATTAAAATGTCTGTTTCATATTATTCACTTTGCACAAGAAGTGGTTTAACAAAGACTTTTAGTATCATAGCCATGATTTAGCCTTTATTTTTTATTGAACCTGATCGAATTGATTTGAAATATATCACATTGAATTGAAAGTGCACTGTATTGAGGTATATATCGTATCAGCAACTTCTTAATGATACCCAGCCCTAATGGCAGCAGTTATAGGAGTGAAATTGGAGCAGACTTTCACATTAGGAGTTGAATTTACAGCAATTACAGAGAGAGTTTTGACAATGTTTCAATGTAAAGACAACTGGAGCATCCCCTTGGTCACTTCCTATTTTGAATGCAGTGGCTAGCGGGTTAGTCTGTTTAAATACAATTAAATACATTTACCATTGTATTTTACTTTATTTATTCAAAAGGACATTATGGCAGATGCTTTTAACCAAGCAAAAAAGTGTGTTTTAGGTTTTACTGGATGAATACACCACAATACCTTTTCATTTTATCTACAGATATATTACATACTTCTATTCTATTTCAGCTTCCTGTAATAGGCGACATGTTGAGGACTTTTTCCCATTCAAAAGTTAATAAGCCTCAATTTGTCCTGTTTCTGTGATCCGTGGATATCCTACCACAGTGTGATTCAGTGCAGCTCATTTATGTCCACGTCCTGTTCCTGTATTCCAGCTTTAGAAGATCCTTTCAACAGCCGTCCCCCCTCACAGCCCCCTCCGCCCCCTCCTCCTGCCAGACACAGCTTTGTGGACCTCTCCTCGTCTTCATCATCATCTTCATCCTGTAACTCCTCTTCCTCATCTGCCCCGAGCCGACCACACAGACCCTGCTCCGGACATGAGCACCTCCTGTTGACCCCAGGTGTGTTATGTAGCCTACTCTTGTCACGATACTGCAATCACAAACTTGATTTCAGTACAGATTCTGATTCCACAATGATAATTAAAAAAACACACCAGTTCTTTTATGTTCCCATGTGGTCTTTTATCTGTGTAATCCCTCAGTCGTCTAGGTAGGTAGTATAATGGTCCATGAGCGTATACTAGTCTGTTTAGTCTTATACTTGTTCTGATAAAACTTAAGATCATTCTAAAGCTGCTGAAAGGTTTATTTCTGTCCTGGGAATGTAACGTTTTTAGTATTGATACTTGCTCAAATGAGTATCCAGATAGTACTGACCAATACTAAAAGTAGTATCTGATTTTTGATACTTTTGCCAATCCTAATGCAGACTGTAGAACTCATACTAAACTTTATCTGCAGTTATTTTGATTTTAGAAAAGTGTGGGGCTTTCATCTAAATCAGCATTTCCAAAGAGTCTTAATTATTATGTTCAAGGTTGTGTTTAGTGAAAAGTCAAAAAGTGCGAAGCTACTGAAAGACCACATCCAAAACATGGCAATTTGTCTAATTTGATGCTTAACAAGACAATTTTATTGGGCCAAGCTTTAATTTTTATTTCAGCTTTCTTCCTTTCTGTGAGAGTGCTTGCATCTCCACAAATCTGACTCTTACTTGGCCTGGAGGGAGGTTTCCAATGGTCTGTTTCTATGAAAATCTTGTTCCTTTGGCTATAATATTATACAGTATGGCATTAAATATAAACATATGTGCATGGAGAATGTTCCACAGTAGGGTTTTAACTTTCTGTTTCCATTGAATCATGTAGTTGACCTTCCATCTTCTCCAGAAAGTTACATATTCTCACTTTACAATAATATGTGTTGCTGTTTAATTACTTATTTAAATGATCATTAAAATAGTAACAAGTATTGGCCCATCTCTTTTATATTGATTTTGAGTTGGAAATTTTAGTATTGTGACAGCACTACACCCTAACTAGATAAACTCAATAAGACGCAACCAGAATAAAAAAAATTAATATCCCTAATGTAACATATTTAATGCTAGCTACAGGGGTTGTAAGCAAAGTACTTGAGCAAAGCCAAACAAAAGTACCACAACAATACAGAACATGCCCCTGCTGCTGCCCCCTGGTGGGCTACGAACACTAGCGCTCCTATGACACTTCAGATCTGTTTTCCTTGCGTCTCTGTGGATTAAGTACAGTGCAGTGTTTGAGTGACAGCTAAGCAAAGCTCTCCTCTGCTCTTGTTGTTGTGATGTTTAGACACAGTGTTTGACATGCTGAACAACGCTGCTCCTCTGCCTCCTGTCCGAAGACACGCCGAAAACACGAAGGGCCTCAGAGGATGCCTGGATCCAGACCTGATAGCAACTAGCCAAGGTAAGTCCAAGTGTTCAGTGGTGTTGTCAAAAGTATGAATACCCAAATAAAAAACAAGAGTAAAAGTGAAGGCTTTGACTAGATATGAGATTGAGTCCACAAAAGACAAGATTTTGACATAAAAATACAACGATCGGCCCTGTATTATGTAGAATTGACCTTTGTGAGCTTGTGAAAACGCTTTGTTCCACCTTGTGATGTCATGCGGTAATACAGGAAGTGCTACGCTTCACTAGAGTCATTTGGATTTGGAATATATCAACCTTGGAATTTCGACTGAACAAAAGGTAAAAGGTCTCTGTTTACTTGAAAACCTCCAAGTGTTTTCTGTTTTGGAGATGTAGACCGACTAATAATACAGGATTGTGCAAACATGTATGAATGAAACAAATCACAGCTCCAGATATGTTTTTGGTGAGGTAACTTTATAACATGGCTTAAATCTCATAAGAATCAATTTTGTTAATCAGCTTTTTTACATGTAAATACAAAAAAATACCAAATCTTCAGCTAACTCACTCTGCTATTGGCCCCTATATATTTGTGTGTAACAGTTCTTTCTGAGCTAAAACACCGCGAGGACCAAGTGAACATGTAAATTAGTAAGTACCATATGTTCCTTTGGCACTGGGCAAATGAATGGGGTCTTATTTTCACATTTTAAATCAGTGCACACAGATTAAAGGGCTGTGAGAAGATTGAAGCTTTCAATGTGAAATTGGCCTTGAACATTACATTACAACAAAAGCCCAGGGAAAATGTGTTTCTATTGTACAGTACATTCAGTCTGGGTACATGGCACGATGACTTTTATAGTGTTTTTTTCAGGGTCATAGATTAGTCCATTGGTACTTTGTCATGTGTTCAGAAAGCATTTTCAGTCTCTCACGCATATAAAGCTAGAGAAGCTGCGAAATAAGTGGAGCTAATGCTATACAATTTTCTATTTTGGTTTGAATGCAAGTCAGACAGTCTAGACCAGATTGTACACATGCATATGACAGCCATTGACTTAAGTGTGGGCTACTTCTCTCTGGGTCTAGTCCAACGCAAGCTGTTTTAAAGTGAAAGAGGAGAGTTTGTGTATCATTTCAGTTGTCTGTTGAGTGATGAGTATATTTTTTGTAAACATTTTAGGGTCCTATATTACAAAAAATTGACACTTGTGAGCTTTAAAGGTGCATTGTGTAACTTTTCTGGTGGAGGGTCTGTCACCTGCTTGTCTGCATGGAGATGTTTTTGCTTTGCGTGGAATGTTCTATGGTATGACATTAAACACATCCATTCATTATAGGTGTTTCTATTGCTCAAAAATACAATAATTCTCTCTGTGTATTGGATTGCCTCTCCACAGATCTGACCTGCAGTGTAGCTGTCTCCTTTGAGATTGGTTTAAGCTCATCATTGTCTCAAACTTGCACCTCACGGGCCAAATGCGGCACCCGAGATCATTTCTACTGGCCCACAAGACGATTTCTAATTTCTATTAATAGTGGCCTGTCAATTAAAATGCATAAGGCAAATTGAACTACAGTTTCCATAATGCATTGCAGCTTATAGCGCCAATTTGGCCCCTTCCCTTCTGCCAGTGCAGCAGCGGCAGAAAATGAATATTAACAGATTTTCTAATACAAGGAGACAGACCACTTGACAAATCGTCCACTGAAATGTATAGAGGGATTTTCAGACTAAGCCACTTTGTGCTCTACTGTGCATGTCTCCTGCAGAAAGAGACGCTGTTTTGTCTGGTCTCATGTCAGTGTCTTGTAGGATTTCAGCAGATTTCAGGCTCTCCCGGGGGCGGGGCTAGGTGTATCAATCAGTTATGAGTAGATGTCCGGCTACTGAAGTTTGAGCCATTTCTTCTTGTCATTTACTCACTCACCTGCATTTCATGCATATTGGTCATTAAGATGTGTCCCACTCTTGTTAATTTTGCATCATAACTTATTTTGTCACACGTGATAAAATTTTAGTGCACTGATAACAGCGTGAGCTGGTGTTGCAACTTCATTTTAACCTCACAGACAGCGGTGCTTTCTGCACTCAGGCTCCACGCGCATCCGCTGTGTTGATAAACAAATAATCTGTCTGTAGGGACACTTCGTAACAGCAATACGGGGAGTGTCAGCAAATATCCCGCCTGTTCCGCTGTCAAGAGCCAATCATATGCCAAACTGTAAGAGCAGCGTTCCAGTCATGCTGCAGCTTTGTGTTCCGATGTTTTTCTGGTGCCATTAGTGAAAAACTGCGTATGTGTGCAGTGTCAAAATAAAGAAAGAATAGAGAAAAGTGGCTTTTAAAGCTTTATTTTTATACAAAGCAGCCAACTTTTCATTATAATCAAGTTTTAGTTGTGATTTCAATCATATGGTTTTCAAAAATAAAAAATAAAAATAACAGCACTGGAGCAGGGGCCCTAGATCAGGTCCAAAGAAATTTTGTTTTGGACTGCAGGCTTAAGATTGAGGAGAAGAAGGGCAAAGAAAAGACCTTGGAGTTCACTAATACTCTTCAGAAGAAGAACAAAGAACTCTCAAGATCTAGTTTACAAAACAAGAAAATGTGCAACTAAAACAAGAGCTTGCCAACTCCAAAGAAGTCATGGAAAAGGCAAAAGGCTTGGAGTTGCAAAAACACTCTGCTACTCTTCAGGAGAAGGACAGGCACCTACAAAAAAGTCACTAATGAAACACCCAAAAAGACAAATGAAAAAGACTTTGAGTGGAAAGAGCTCAAAGCTGCTCTCTTGCAGAAACAGAAAGAGCCAAGTCAGAGAAAAAAACAAGTTAGTGCGTAAAAGATCTTTACCTTTAATGTATAACACTAGTTACAGTAAAGTCCATGAGAAAACGAAAGACATACTCAAAGCATCTATAATGGGCACTCAAACCACTTGTATTGATGTTGGTGGAGATATAAGAAAATGAAAAACTGTCCACACCACGAAAGGAACTGCATCTCTAAAAGTTTCGTTGTGAAAGTGAAAGGGTACAGTGATCCAGCCGCCCAAAAGGAGCGGCCGTATTAGAGGAGCAGAGGAGGGCGCCTTAACAAATGGATAAAGTGAATGTACAAAAATTATATAATCCACGTTTAAAGAAATCTAAACATTAAAATGGCAATGTTAATGTTATTTTTTATCCTCTAAACTAAATATAACACTTACTTTAAGAGAGAGAGAGCGGTACAGCGGAACACAATATATCTCACACAGTGATACTGCAAATATTTATCAAGTTTATTCTTACATGAGACTGCATGATAGTTTGGTAATTTTATAACTTCGGCCCCTGCTCCAGTTAAGTTTGAGTCCTGATCTAGACAAAGCAATAACTTTTCCATGGAGACATGCAGGTTGCAGACCTTCCACTAAAAAAATTACACATTGTACCTTTTAAGTCATGTTATAAAGTTTTCTCCTGAGAAATGTACCTGTGGTGTTGTGTTTTGTATCATTCACACATGTTTCATTAACTCTTTATTACCGTATTTTCTGGGCTATTAGACACGCTCTTAAGCTTCTAACCCCATCAAAAAACGACTGTGTGCCCCATACACGAATCCACTCGGGTGTCCCAGCACGACTTCAGTAAACTACAAAGCAGCACCGCAAACACGCACGGAGCAGACAGCGACCGCTCAGCGAAAAACACCCACAGCCACACTCATCGCTCCACGCAGACGAGGAATGGAACGGAGGAAAGAACCGAAAAAGCGAGTCCAATGTACTTTTCAGAGCCACAACTGAACAACTGAGTCACTGGGAACACACCAACAATCCAGCGATCCCAGACCGCACCCTCCCTACACGCCACAACTGAACAAAGCCCAGAGTCACCGTGAACGCACCAAACAAAGTCCAACTGACCCATCCAACTGTTGTGTTTCCTTTAAAGCCCAGTGCGGTTTATTTGTGAATAAAGTTTGAAAATAGACCATTCAATGACAGTGCGTCTTATAATCCAGAGCTCCTAATAGCCCGAAAAATACGGTATTAGTCTATCTACTTCAACAAAGCTCAAAATGCTCTGTTCCACCTTGGGATGTCATGAAGTGGTAGTTTTCAGCTACCTTTTCCCTTTAGTTCAGTAGAGATTGTCAATTCCAGGGTTGATCCAAATGATTCTTGTCAAGGTGTGTGGATTTTAAAAGCACAGTGGAGCACTTCATGTATTACCACATGACATCATAAAGTGGAACAAAGGAAACATTATAAAATAGTGTAATATTAATAAATGGCATAGAGACAAAACTACTGTCTGCTGGTTTCGGAAGAACTTCTAAGCTCAAAAGTGCTGTACTAAACAAAAACCCTTTGTCTAAACCAGAATTGCCTGAAGACGCAGCTTAAATAAAAGGAAAAATTCAAGTCAAGCCAGAATATAAAAACTGACTAAAGCAAGTACTGATAATAGCAGTGAAAAAAGCTTGAATAGGACTATAAGTATTACGATTAACAGCAAATGGTGGACTATTGTTAACACGCGCAGACTCTCAGAAGTGATTCTTAAGTTTAACCTGCTATTTAGTGAGCTATTAAAATTGTGTTTAAAACCTTTTATAATCTCATAAACTAATGGTGAGGTTGGACTGATAACTAAGTGAATGTTTTAATGGTTTTGATTCACATCCATTTAAGACATTTTTAATGATTAAGTGGCAGTGAGGTGCAATCAGTCAAAATTTTATTGTAATTACATTTATTTAAAAATATCAAATGAATAAAAATGAAAAATCTGGTCTGGATTTTGAAACCTAGAGCAAAGCAACTTCTCTAATTTAAAGTGCACAAAATGTTTTATTATCTTTTCCATCTCTTCCTTTACGGTTTAGTCCTTAAATGTTTTTATTAGTTTTGTTTATTCTTTATTTTGGCGTTGTTGAGTAATTCAGCTAATAATGTCAACATTTTGCACAGTCCATAGAGTATCTTTATTTTGCCCAATGTAGGACCTTTAAAGCAAAATATATATCATAATTTAGTTTATATTGTAGCATTTTGTTATTTAGATATGAGTTGTTTCTCCTCTCAACAGAACTAACCTAATCTGTAATATCACTTTGTTAAAATACATTTTAAAAATCAAATACTACTGACTAAATATAATACTGAAATTACAAAACAAATAACTATATAAATAAAAATCGCTTTACTATAATAATCTGTGTATCATTCATTCATTTGTTTTTCGATATAAAACCAAAAATTTGAAAAAGAAAAAATAACTGTTTATTTGTTATTTGTCCCAAAACCAAAATGAAAAAATGGATAACAGTTCATTTTTTCAGTTTTCGATTTTGTGTTTAAATGAATAATGGAAAAAACGGATAACACTAGCCGTAACAAGTAGCCGTTTCCATGACTTCCATGACTTCTGTGACTTAAACTGCGATGCTGGACTTTTTGCGCTGTATACGGACTGAACCAGGACTGAACCAGGTCCGACCAGACCGGAACAGGACCGGGACTGAGACCAGAACTTAGACCGGGACCAGACCAGAACTGAGTCTGGGACCAGGACCAGGATTGAGGCTTGGACCAGACCAGGACCGGGACTGAGACCGGGACTGGACCGGACTGAGACCGGGACTGAGACCGGGACTGAGACCGGGACTGAGACCGGGACCAGACCCGGACCAGACGAGGACTGAAACTGGGACCAGACCAGGACCAGGCCGTGAGTGAGACCGGGACTGAGATCAGGACCAGACTGGAACTGAGACCGGGACCAGACCGGGACGAGACCAGGACTGAGACTGGGACCAGACCGGGACCAGACCAGGGCTGAGACTGGGACCCGACGGGGACCAGACCAGGACTGAAAACGGTTTAGTCCTTATTCAGTCCTGGTTCAGTCCATATGCGGAGCAAAAGTCCGGCAGTTTAAGTCACGTTAACAAGAAAATGGCCGTTATCCGTTTTTTTCATTACTCATTTAAACACACAGTCATTATCTGTTTTTTTCATTTTGGTTTTGGAGACAAATAATGAAGAAAACAGTCATTTTTTCATTTTCTTATTTTTGGTTTTATATTGAAAAACAAATGAAGGAATGATACATGGATTATTAATTTTCCTCTGCTCTCACTAACCAGTTTTCCCTCTCTCTGTCCTTCTCCGCAGTGTCCATGGAGTGCTTGCAGGCCCCCGCTCGCCCGCCCAAGCCCCTGCCCCGAAACCTCCACTCAGGGAAACCCCACGGCCTGGAGTCAGAGAACGTGGACGCCAAGATCGCCAAACTGATGGGCGAGGGCTACTCCTTCGAGGACGTGAAGCGGGCGCTCATGATCGCGCAGAATAAAGTGGACGTAGCGCGGAACATTCTGAGGGAGTTTGCGCTGGTGCCCCCCCGACTGCACCTCTAGTTTGAGGGTCCCACGTTGAACTTTGGGCTCCCTAAATTATGACTATGTTTGTTTTTTTGTGTTCAGCTGTGCCTATGTGGAGCTACTCAAAGGGCTGCATCAGTGGAATAAGTGGCACTGGGTACATTTATATAGCCAGGAGAAATCTGATAACTAGAGTGATTGAATGACTCAGTAATTTGATCTGAAAAGGAAGTGAGCATGAGGGCACGTCTGACTCCATCAGCTCTGGCTCCAATTGACTTTACACTGAAATATTGTCACCCCTCTCTCTGTAACTGATGCAGAGAGTGCATTTTGGTCCGAAAATGTTCGTATTAATCTGCTCTACTTGACCCTGGTGTTTTTATTTCACTTTTTTGTACGAACATAAATTCTCATTCCTAATATGGAACCGACTCCAAATTTGCTCGTATAACTGCTAGTAGGGGAGCTGGCAGGAAAGACAAAGGGATCTGTTGTACCAGGCCTCAGGGTTGCCCAAATTTCCATTGATGAGACTGAATACTAGCCTCATGAGCTTCATTTGACTGGAGCCAAAGTAACTGTTGTATTTGGAAGACAAAGTACAATTCAATTTTAAATTATTCTTTCAGTCTTTAACATTTTTTCTTTTGTTTTTGTCTTCGCCACATTACATTATTTTCGAATAATTTTCTTGTCAACACGTGCACAGGTGTGGCTGCTTTATCAGATCCAGGCTTTGTTACAAAGACGTGGGGAGTTCTGATTAAAAAGAGGCACATTTTCATCTCAGATTTTCTCATTAGTCAATCTCAATGTGACAGTGTGATTTTATGATTACCAATTTACACTTTAAAAAATTGTTTTAGGTGATGCATCTCCACAAATCTTGATTTCTCAAAGAAAAATAACAATACCGCTGTGCTTAAACATGCTTTGATATTCAGCATCACTATCTGTCTTTTTTGTGATTTTGTAGGTTTCATGTTCTAACAGTTCATGTGAGAATTTATGTTTAAAATTACATACAATTGTTTAAATTAAAGGACCCATACTACACAACGTTCTGATCTATGTTTTAATTGTTTCCTCATCACAAACAGACCTGGAGTTGTGTTTTGTTTCATTCACACATGTTTAACACACAAATCTTCAGTTTTTCTCTCAAACTGAAAACACTCTGTTCCACTTTATGATGTCATGTGGTAATACAGGAAGTGCTCCACGATGTTTTTAAACTCCATACGCCTTCACTAGAATTTCAGCCCTAGAATTTCCAATCTTTACTGAACAAAGGGTAAAAGGAGCTGTTAACTTGAAACTACTCCTTCATGACATCACAAGGTGGAACAGAGCTTTTATGTTTTGTATGTAGACTGTATCTTCACAGAATCCTAATAAAGGATTGCTCAGACATGTGTGAGTGAATGAAACAAAATACAACTCCAGGTATGTTTTTGACGAGGTAATAACATTATAACATACCTTAAAGCTACCCCAGAGTAAATATTCCGCAATATAGGACATTTAAGTGTCATAAATTGGGGGACATGACAGAATTTCCACTAGACTAGACAAGACACAAAGTTGGGTCCATGAGTACAACACAGCATGTGTATAACTTTGTCAAGTAGAGATTTCCTATGGCTGACTTTGTTTACATGCACACCAAAAATCAAATTTCTGTATGATTGTTTTTGACGTGGGACGACAGGTTTTGACATGTTTGACATTGAAATGTCACAAAAAAAAAGCTAACTATTGTGGCAAAGACAAAAATGAAATACGAAATGTTAAACACTGAAAGAGTTATTTTAGTATTCATAGTACTTTGTCTTTCTTGTACAACAGTTTCTATAAAATCCATGGATTAAGTGACACACAGCACCCGATGTTTTCAGATTTTTTGTGTGCGTGTAACCACACACCAAAATCACATCTAATTATCGTCTTATCTGAATATTCCAGTTTTCAGATTTTTCCTGACCGTGTAAATCCTCCACTGTCCGTAGCTGTCTGACAGGCAGTTAGCGCTGTTGTCCAGTAGGTGGCGGCAGACTCCATCTGTTCCCGGTGCTGTGGGTGCCCCTGGTGACTGTGCCGAGAGAGCACAGTGAGTCTGGCCGCGCTGTGGCTCACATGTACGACTTAACAAGGTCTGGTGAAGCAGGACCCCCACAGCCCGAGGAGGAAGCTTTATTGATCCAGCCCCTGACCTGAGCAGGAGCAGACAGGAGGGAGGGACGGGGGCGCTGGCTTTTTGTTTCTCCTCCAGGACCATGGGATTAATTATAAACCAGGGCCTTTTTAAATTGCTGGGTTTCAGATGATGTCACAATATTCTCAAGGACAGTAATAATTAAAGGTTCGTTATGTAACTTTTATGGTGGAGGGTCCGTCAAACATTTTTCTCCATGGACATATTATTGCTTTGTCTGGAATGTTTAACAGTATGATATTAAACCTTTCAATCTTCATGGAGACCAAAACAGACCAAGTTACAGGTCGGATCTGTGGAAAGGCAACCCCACTCACAGTCAGAATGCCTGTTTTTCTAGGTATTTTTGCGCTATAAAACCATCTGTAATAATAAATGTAAAGTAGAGCTGTTAATAGTCATACTGAGCAATGACATATCCATAGAAACAAGCAGGTGACGGACCAAACCAAAATGTTATGAGGAGGCTAAAATTGACAGTTCTTGGGGTCTAGTCAGTAATCTAAATGATCAGGTCCAACTTGTGTGGGTATTTTACACTGAAGTACAACATTATCAATAGTTGAAAATGTCTCTTACCCCCCATCTGGGAGTATGACATCTTCAGTTTTTAGAATCTAAATCTACCAATAGACTAATAATATATCATAAACTTTTTTGTTGGATTGGTTTGTAGGATCTAGTCACGATCAGGTCCAACATTTATGAATTTTGTTTTTAGATATCTTTTATGAAAGTACAGCTTAATTAATCAATCCATCAATCAAACTTTATTCATAGAGCACTTTTTATACAAAAATGCAACACAAAGCGCTTTACAGTGATTAAAGCGCCCCCCCAAAGCTAAGATATAAAGTTTGCTCTTGAGATTACATAATTAATGACATAATTATCTTTTTCTTTTTTTTTTTTTTTACTAACTACTACTAACTAACTATTTGGAATCTGGAAACTTATACTGTCTGGAATCTGGGACACTAACTATCTGGAACCAGTACATAAAGCAAAAAAGAAACCTCAGCACACAAAGCAACATCAGCACATACAGCTGACAAAAACATAGTACAGACATAATCGACAAGACTAACCAGAACTTTTTCTTTTAATTTATTGCATTTATGGATACAAATTATTATATAAACATAATAATGAGAACGGGCTCTTACCTATCTGAGAGTATAACATCGTCACTTTCTAGATTCTGAAAACCACCAGTGCTTGGGTTTCAGAACGCCATGGAAATTAACAATTCAAAACAAAATATTACATCTTTAGAATGGTAAACCGTCCTCAAAATGTCGCCATGTTACAGGAAGCTGATTTAAGCCTATAGCCTGCTATATTACAACTAAAATCTGCATTTCGGTTATATTTATTTTATCTTCCCCCATGTGAATCAGACATTACTGCCCTGTTAAATGCAGTTATCTCATCTGAAGCTCAGCAATAGCTTTTGTTCACATAACATCACAACCTTGTATAACCCCTATAGTTTAAAATGAAGCTGGAGATCAGACTTTGATGGTGGAGTTTGCTGTTTAACTGTCAGACTGCAGATTTGTTGACCTGGTTTATGGTGAATATCTCTGTAATTACTGGGTCTGTCCACATGAAACAAAAACTGGCACAAAGTTCAATATCTTCTCTGTCAGTATAAATAAAAACGTGAAATCATTTTCTCTACAGTATCTTCAGAAAGTGGTGCCATTATTCAACTCTGAAAAAGTAATTGTTGAAAAGCACTGTGTAACTTTTTCTGTTTGAGAGTCTGCCACCTGCTTGTCTCCATGAAGATATTAATGTTTTGAACTGATTGTGTATGGAAATAAATTTGGTAATCACAATGGAGGCAGGTTAATGGCCAGATCTATGGAAAAGCAAGCCTGCACATGGTAAGAATTTGTGTTTTTTAAGGTATTTTTGAGCTAAAACACCGGTAATTGAACAAATGCAAGAGAGATATGTTTACATTCCAGGTAAAGACATAACACCTCCATGAAGATAAGCAAGCAAGTACTGGACCCCCCATTAGAAGTTACACAGTGCAGCTTTAAGCCATGAGGTTCAGTGTAGAGGTTTGTGCACCAAAATCCCTAACAAATAATGATACATTGAGCAATTCTATTTTGGGTATTTCAGAAACAGTGGAGACTCCAGCCCTACGGGAGACTGACTGGGGAAGGCTGGTTTTGGCTCTTTGTTTCTCCTTGTGGACCAGAGGATTAATCAGTCAGGGCCTTTTTTAATTACTTCCTTCATGCGAGGACTCAAGCCTATGAATGCATTTGTTCTGCTTGGGAAGAGCCATACCTTCCTGCTCCTCTCAGACCTCCTCTCTTCTTAAGGAATTCACTCATGGAAAAGAGATGATTTTTACTTTTTTTTTTTTTTTGCCTGCGTCTCTTTGGTTATTAAAGCTGCACAATGTAACTTTTCTGTGAGAGGATCCACCACCTGATTGGGTCCATGGTGGTGTTACTGCTTTGCTTGGAATAGATTTGTCAGAAGTATTGAATATCAGATACTAATTGGAACTAAGGCTACGTCCACATGACAATTTTGCAGGTTGAATAAAAATCAGGTCCACACATGTGTCGGATCAGTAAATATTCACGTCCACATGACAACGGAGCACCGAGTGAAAACGATGTAATACATATGCCACACCTGCATGTGGTGCTGTAAACAGGATACAGCCAGAGCCACTGGACACACAATACTACAAAGAGTCCTGTGCGCAGGGTTTTCTTGTGGTCACATGGCGGTGTCGCGACGTCATCGTTTTCCAAAAGCTGCGGTTTGCTTGTCCACATGACAACACAACGCTGGTGTTCTCAGATTTCTCCACTCTGGAACCCATTTTCAAAAGACACCGTTTTTGTCCTCCCAGAATACCGGCGCTCCGTGGACAAAAGGACAAAATGAATAAAAACTTCACCATTTCGATCAAAAAATGTTGTGTGGACACCACCTAAAACCAGCATCGAAAATTGGTATCAAAAATCATTCGAGCAGGTATCGATACTGAAAAAGTCACATTTATTGGACAGAAATGAACCGTTCCTGAATAGCTTTAGAATGATTTTGAGGTGTATCAGAGCAAGTATAAGAGCACATAGACAAATATACACCCATGGTCCACTGTGGGACCTACCTGAACGACTGATTACACAGATATAAGACCACATGGTAGTATAGACATCATAGAAAGTACAGTACTATGATTCCATGTTGAAAATCACATTATTTTGTCTAAATAAACAGCGTTTTTTATTATCATTGTGGTATCAGTATTGAGTATCGAAATCAAGTTTGAAATTTTAGTTAGTATCGTGACACTAAGCTTAGAATGTCACACTATATGGCTTTAAACATATCCGTCTTGCATTTGTTCAATCACTGGTGTTTTCACTGCTAAATAATACCTTGAAAAATATGCATTCCTACTGTGAGTGGGATCCCTCTTTACAGATCTGAGTTGTAAATACAAATCATCACCTGCTGGTTTTCACGGATAAAGATGATTTTGCGATACTGTGGGGCAATCCAGGCAATGCAAAAACATCTCCATGGAGACGAGCAAGTTGCACAGTGCTCCTTTAAGAGGAATGGAGTGATTGGAGCGTGACAGTTGCCATGTGCAGAAAGAGAGAGGAAAAAAAGAGAGAGAGAAAGACATGCTCCTCCTGTCTGTTCTTCCATTACACACCATCGTAGGTAATACTCCCCTTATGTGTGTAGCCTCAGACCAATTAGCCATCTCCGCTAACCTGGACTAAACTAAAGGACTTCCTCATGTCTATGCATACAGTGGATTGATACTAAACGTATTTATACTACCTTTTTATTTACAGCTCATCGTTTAGTCGTCTCAAACACTGATTTCTTTGGTCATATTCTTGCTTCCGTCTCTTAAGAACCTATAGGACCCATAGTACACTATTTTTTGATCTGTGATATGTTGTGTCTTCATCAAAAACATACCTGGAGTTGTGTTTTTGTTTCATTCACATATCTTCTCTCAAACAGAAAACACTCTGCTCCACCTTGTGATCTCATGTGGTGATATACCAGAAGTGTACCACTGTGTTTTTAAACTTCATACACCTTAACTAGAATCATTTGGGTCTTTTCAGCCCTGGAATTGCCCCTTGAATCTATAAAGGGGCGCAGAGTGTTTCAGTGCAGTACAGTTTGCTTGCCTTATTTGAAGTCTAACTTAACATTAATCAAATAGAATGGAGATATATTTATAAAAACGTTGATATAAATGTGACAAAATAACTGTAAAACACAAATAAATGTAGAAATTTACAAAGATGGTCTCGGTTTGCTTTTGAGGGGCCGTGGTCTTGGTCTTGTCTCGGTCTCGACCTTTAAAAGTCTTGGTCTTTTCTTGGTCTTGATCCTCAGAGGTCTTGGTCTTGTCTCGGTCTCGACCCTCAGAGGTCTTGGTCTTGTCTCGGTCTCGACCCTCAGAGGTCTTGGTCTTGTCTCGGTCTTGACCTCAGAGGTCTTGGGTCTCGACCCTCAGAGGTCTTGGTCTTCCTGGTCTTCTCAGAGGTCTTGTCTCGGTCTCGACCCTCAGAGGTCTTGGTCTTGTCTCGGTCTCGACCCTCAGAGGTCTTGGTCTTGTCTCGGTCTTGACCTTCAGAGGTCGTGGTCTTGTCTCGAGACCCTGTGGTCTCGGACAGGTCTTGGTCTCGATCAGTGCAGTCTTGAATACAACACTAGTGCATATACTGGTGAACTACCACGACCTCACCATTGACCCGTTTTCATGCTTGTATAATGAACAAAAGGTAAAAAGCAGCTGTTAATTTGAAAACTACCACTTCATGACATCACAAGGTGGAACAGACCATTTTGAGCTTTGGATATGTAGGCAGACAATAACAAAGGATTACTCAAATGTGTGAATGAAACAAAACATAACTCAAGGTTTGTTTTTAAAGAGGAAACATGATTCTAACATGGCTTAATGCTCACAAGAGTCAATTTTGCAGAATATAGGACCTTTACAGTGTATATGACAGGTTTTTATGTTTTTCTAATTATTACTTGGTTTGGTGGGATAGTACACTTTTGTACATATTTATAGTTTTACATCAGTTAAGTGGCAGTTTGTGGGAAAAGTTGAAAATACAGAAGTCACTGTGATTTCCATTCATAAATGCTGGGACAATTTACGCGCAAAGGAAGTCATTTTTCAGTTTAAAACTTCATTTAACAAGATAAATGTGCTGTCATCTATTTTTATAAGTCTAATCGTAACTATTGTGTAATTTTAAGTTTTGGTCCTTGTGAACATCATGGTTGCTAGGTAACAAGTTATGAAATTACCTCTAAGTAATACTGTATCTGCTGCACTTACTCGACCTGAAGTAAAATTATAAACTTTACAAAAAAATAAAATAAAATAACAAAAGTTAAAACTAAAATGTAATTATGTTAAAGGTGCTTTGTGTAACTTTTCTTGTGGAGGGTCAGTCAAATGCTTCTCTCCGTGGAGATGTGATTGATTTGTCTGGAATGTTTCGCAGTATGATACCGATTGAACCTTTCTGTCTCCATGGAAACCAAACCAGACTAAGTCACAGGTCAGATCTGTGGAGCGGCAACCCTACTCACAATCAGGATGCCTGTTTTTCTAGGTATTTTTGAGCTATAAACTCACCTGTAATTGAATAAACGTAAGGTCGAGCTGTTTAATGTCATACTGTGGAACATTCTAACCAGAGCAGTGACATATCCATAGAAACAAGCAGGTGATGGGCCCTCCGCTACAAAAGTTACACAATGCTGCTTTAACTTTTGGTGAAATTTGTTATCTAACCTCATGTGCACTTTAAACTCCACAGTGTTCAGCTGTAAACCTGCTGGAGTTTTTTTGTTTTTATTGAACAAATATGAAAAGTGTCAGTTGTATTCTTTTGCTGCACAGTCGCCAGAATCACAAACAAAGCCAAAATCGCACAAGTTTTGATCCTTGTTTTTTGTGGTTTTGTTTTTTCAGATGTGAGTTGGCTCCACTGTAAGTCTGGCACAAAAGTCTCTAAGATCAGACCGATATTTCCATCCACTCTCATGATTAGCTTTTGTTTTGGAGCTAGATCATAGTCTGGGAACATCCGATTTCTCAAGTTTGTTTTTAATCCTTTCAGGGAATCTTTTAATCACCTAAGGAAATTATAATACGGATTATCTTTCACTGAGCTGAGACCTTCCATTACTTAAGATGCAAAAATGCTACTTAAATATTAGCCTACAACAAATCACAGCTTAACTTCTTGCGGTCCCATAATGAATGTCTTTAAAGGTTCATTATGCAATTTTTCTGGTGCTTGTCTTCATTTAGGTGTTATTGCTTTGTTAGGAATGTTCCACAGTATGGCATTAAACTTGTCTCTCTCCACTAACACAAGCAAAGTACACAGTCATGGTAAAAATGTATGTTTGTATCATGTATGTTAAGGTAATTATGAGCAATAAGAACACATGGAATTGAATAAATGCAATATAGATATGTTTAATGCCATACTGTGGAACATTCTAGGCAAAGCAGTAACATATCCGTGGAGACAAACAGTTGGTGGACCCCCCAAAAATAAAGGTTACATAGTGCATCTTTAAATTGATATATTGCAGTGACGTCATACTGGGGGTGTTCTCCGTGCATTTTTATTGG